TTCTTCTTCTTCTTCTTCTTCTCTCTTTTTTTTTTCTTCTTCTCCTTTTACGAACCAATTAACACACAATTGCGTCGAGCACACGCCTTGGAAATTATTAGCCGATGCAACGTAACAGTTCGTTGAATGTACTTGGAGTTCGTTTCATCGCGAGAGTTTCGTTACTGAAAATGTCATCCCCGTACACGTTGTGTGTTTGAATTCATTGCAATTAGCTCGTGATCGTTTGAAACTGGCAGAGGACGTAATTTCAGCGTTCGACCTCGTTTCCGGAGTTGCTCGTTGCATCGCCAGGCTTCAGGTTTCTTCTTTGCTCGTTGAGACGTGCAAGCAGATACATTCTTAAGAAATCAGGTTGATTTGTAAATGATTTCCTCCAACCTTGGGAAAAACTTGTGAAAGAAATTTTCCCTGATGGTGTGCAGGCGTCACTGTTCTTTTTTTATAGATTTGTTCTCTCGAGAGAAAGTGTCAATGGGTCAAGGTAGCGACATTTCTTTCGTTTGTTACTCGATTTGCAAGAGTCAAGCGATCACAAGATTCGAGACGTATCGCACGAATGGTGATCTCTGTTTAAAATCAAATACCTGGATGGATGGAGACAAGGGATTTCCTTCAATCTTGGGAGAAACTTGTGAAAGAAATTTTCCCTGATGGTGTGCAGGCGTCACTGTTCTTTTTTTATAGATTTGTTCTCTCGAGAGAAAGTGTCAATGGGTCAAGGTAGCGACATTTCTTTCGTTTGTTACTCGATTTGCAAGAGTCAAGCGATCACAAGATTCGAGACGTATCGCACGAGTGGTGATCTCTGTTTAAAATCAAATACCTGGATGGATGGGGACAAGGGACGATGGCGAGAGGATCGGAACGGAAATTCCTCGTAAGTGAGTCACCCGGTAGACGGAATCGAGTCCGGTCGAGGACGGTCTTTGACTAAGTTTGGTCGGAGAAATCTTTCTCGCGGGGAAAAGCGAGCGGATTCTAGCGAGACTCGTATACACGCGGCCTCACCTTCGTGACGATGGCTCGCGTTCGTGTTCGTGTCTTATGTCACGCAGTTGAACCAGATTCGAGCTACTCTAGCCAGGTGTTAGAAAATCGTTCTACATTATCTTACGCGATCTTTCGAGTTAATGTGTTAACGTCAGAATGATATCACGATCGCCCTGTATTTTACACTACATACAACATAACGTGAAGATTATACATGCCTGATTGATGAATATTCTAAAAATTCTTCGTCATGAAACTTTTACTTTCAGACGATCGTAGAATTTGGAATCACTTGGCATGATGTGTTCAAAGTTCTGGCGAAACAAGGGATTAGTCATCCCGGATCAGGCGTTCTGGATTTCCCGCGGGGAATATCGGTTATTGTCACTAGCATCGTAATGAATCTGATTATTCATAATAGAAATTTTCATTGAATGCTAATCACGCTTCTCCAATTTCGCACCTCTTGTATCATAGCGATAACGAAACTATCTATTATACATTCTCTCGTGAAACTTAACCGACTCGATTTGATGCTCGTTATCGGAACGTGCGCGTTTATTGAAATATTTATCGGTCGATGAAGAAATCGAACTGCAGGAACGTGTAACGCGGAAAGTGTAACACGCGCGAGAAAGACCGGGACCAAAGCTTCAGGGGAGACCGAGATTCGGTGAAAGCGTGCCGAATAATCTGCATGCACGCTAATTTCCAGACTTTAAGGCTCTTAACAGCTCTTTCAGCTGTTTTAGCTTGATTTAATCAGTTCCCTTTTCCATTATTTATTACTAACCTGCCGCGTGTACAATGAACGAACGCTTTTAGAGGACACTAATCCTTTATGATCTTTATGTTCGTTTTTTTGTAATATTATTTGAAGAATTGAGAAAAAATAAAAACAAGTACTTTGGAAGATGGCTGATAAATAACAGCACTCTGAATGCAACAGGTGTGCCACAACAATAAGGAAAAACTATTGTTCTTTGGTTTTATAGGCCATCGGGGGGTCTAAGAGTCAGAAGTGGAAATTTCTTCAACTTTTAATAAAATAAAAGTTCTACAAGTTTATCGCGATATCGGCGCAATTTCTGTAGATTTTTTGATGTTCATTCAAATCCTTCCCGGTTTCATAAGTCCATCTGAAGACACAGTGTTCGCAGATACATGGCAGTTGGACTTCTATGTTGAAGGTCGTTTGAAACTCTGGTACTTGATACTCGTAGCCACCATCGCTTAGCGTGATTGGGTACTGATCGAAGCATTCCTCGGTCTCGAGGGAATTGGTTTGGTTCAGGGGACACACGTGGAACCTGAATGTTCCCAAATTGTTGGTAGTCAGTTTCACCTTTACCTTCATAAACAGGCCGCTAAAACAATGTAAAAAATGTTAATGAACACGACTCGATTGATTTGGAAATATAGATTTTATTGTTCTGTGCTTACATTTGAATTTTTCTTTGTTAAATTTTATAACGAAATATACTTATCGATATTTTGTATATATGCATTCTAGCAAGGTGATGAACTTACGCTGTTTCGACGATCACACCGGTTCCATAAGTACCACCGTTTTCATTTGGCCTAGGTCGGACTTTAGCGTAATCGTCACCGCACTCGCCACATTTTCCATGATTTTGGACGAACTGAGTCTGCGAGATAAAACAAAAATCGATTAGTTACTTTTTGTTTCTACTCGATCACCTTCTCACTTTTTTCCCTAATATTTCTGTCAAATGTATTGCAAAATTACATAATCGATAGAACAATTTAATATCATTAAAGTCTAGACAAGATCGTGTCTAATACAAAATTCTGTCTTTCTTAAATTTCAATGATTATGAAGCAGTTGATGGGATTCGTACGTCTCCACCGCAGGAAAGATCATCGTCGTAGAAATTCTGTTCAACAGGGAGTCCGAACCGCCAGGCACTGCTCCTACTAACAGGACTAATCATCATGCCTTGCCCATGGATCTCCCGAAGGAACGTTCCGAGCAGGCAGATATTTATTAGTAAAAGTTTCACAAACGACATCTTTCACGCGCGTTCTTGTTTAATCAAAAACTAAGATTAGTTACTTTCGTTCGACTTCTTTTTATAGGATAATCCACTCAAGCATCATAGAATATAATTATGAACTGGTGATGATGATTGTCTTATCTGAATTGGAATTATTATCTTATCACGTCGAATCAATTTTGTTGAACATTTATTTTTAATCTTCTATATAATCTTCCAAACGAATGGAAATGGAAAATCGATACAAAATGTTTCTACGAAGAATATAGAATTTGAAAAGAATTCTATGTTCAATGAATTTTAGAAACAGTTTTTAAATTCTATTTTATGAGAGAATTTGAAAGAGAATTCTTACCTCCAATCGATAAACTAAGAAGTATAAAATTCCAAGTTGAATAAACAAATAACGATCGGAAGGTAATGTGAAAAATGTGGAACAAAACAAAATGTAAATGAAACGAGTCGATTTTATTTTTCCATTTGATAAAGACTGGATGGCTATTTATCTCTATAGTCAATTAATATCGTATCTTTTTATTGTATCATACAGTACAGTTCAATCAGATAAAAGTGGATCTTTTCATCGATTCGATTTGATTAGATAGAAAAAGCGAACAAGATACGTAAATAAGTATGTATGTGTAGGGAAGCTTTACAAATATTCATGCATGTAAAATTTTTGTAATTGTAATTGTGTTCTGAACGATACGAATAATTTATGTAAATTTATTTTTTTCCATTTATCGAAATTTATTCGACGATTTTATAATCAAATTTTGTCATTAATTAGTAATTATTGATATTCTGATATTGTATTGCGATATTAAAGATTAATAAATGTTTAAAATTTCTTCCAATAAAAACAATAAGCAACAATAACAAAACTTTTTTTTTAGTTATAATATTTCATTACCCGCGCGATTTTAAGTGGAGAGGAAATTATGGATGCCATGATAATTATCGATTTTATGATCGATATTTAATAATGTTTGACTTACATAACCAATAACACACACACACACACACACACACACACACACACGTTCACTAAAGACAGAATAAATATGACATTATATGGAATATCGTTCTAAAATATCGACCAAAATTATTATTAAAATACGAACATAAGACGACAAAGTTAGTAGTATTTTTTTTTTTATTATAACAAGTCATTTGGAACTTAAATTAATTTTGTAAAACAACAGATGAAAAAGTTTTTTAGAAAACAGTGTTTTACCTTTTATTTCAACTTGCAAACCATGTATTTTCGTACGAAATGCGCGAGAGTGATATTAACTTGCCAGATAAAGATCACAGCGCCAATGAACGAAGTGGTGAAACATGTAATTCACTTACTACGATTATCGAACAATCGATATTTCACGCGATCGATCCATAGTATTAGAATGCAACGTAAAGATGTCAGTTTTACGCGGGAAGCGTAGCAAGAAGAAACAGTGTCCAAAAGTCGTCAGATAAAGACTCAGTGACTTTAAAGGACTCGTTTAATTAGTCTTATTCGACGAATAATTTAAATTAGTTACGAAGACAGAAGAAAATATTTTCGTAGGGTACTTTGTGTTACCTCGAAATCAGTCGAATCTTATTTGTGTACGCTAGAGTCCCCACTCCGCCATATTAATAGTGACGCGAACCCGATGCGCAGGAGGTTAGTTTATTGCTGAAAATCGTCGTGTTGACATGACATCTCGCATTGTGTCTATCAATAGTTGTGATTGCTTGATAAATATTTTCACCACCATTTTATCATCTTTTATATTTGCGTTACTGTTATTACTAAATTATTTTTTTCCTTTTGATATTCTGATCTTCGATTTAATTGTTATAAATATGACATTATATGAAATTTCGTTATATCGTATTATGAACTTTTAAAGTGAACATTTAACTTTTGATTATTGTTTTATTTTGTTCCTTCAAATTTGTATTTATTTGAAAGTTTTGATATCTATTTGTCTGAATTATTATTGAGAGAATTTCGACTGTCAATCTTCGAAAACGTTAGAAAGACGCTAATTTTCGACGAATATTACGAAATTTGAAGGAACACCATGGTGAGTAATTGTAAATCCAATAGCTTTTCATGAGAATATTTAATAAATATATTTAATATTATGGAAGGTGTATGGTTATATTTAACAAATATATTTCATTTAGTCTAATGAAGGCAGATCTTTTTTGGAAAGGGACGCTATCACGGTCAAGTTTGAACATTCTGCGCATCATGTTGTTTGAATACTGCGCAGTTTTGTTGGCAAGAAAAGCGCGCTATATTTGAAACCTTAACCAGGGATATATGTATGTAAATGTATATTTTAAATATATTTATTAAATATTTTGTGTTTGTTATGGACGTGAACAGATAGCCTGTCGCTATTCAGGCTACCTGTTTACTTTCCATAATTTACAATTATAATTATAATTTAATTATAATTATAATCTGTTTATTTTCCAGGCTACCTGCGCACTTTCTATAATTTACTATCAGTGTATAATCGCAATAAATTTATGGAATTTCAACGAATATTTAGAGAAACACTTGCAGGCAACTCTGTAATTGGCAGGTAATTTGCTTTATCTTCTTAGAAAATATAGTAATAAAAAAGGAATCTAGGGGACTGCGACTTACCCCAAAAACTATCAAATTGGGAAGATCACGAGCTCTTTAAAATCAGTTTCTCACATATTCCTAATATAATATTTCTTTATCTGTTTTAATTTTTAGATATATAATAAATATGTTTAATTATTAAAATTTCTTTCTTCATCTTCAACTTTTTAAACAGTATAGATATTTTAAGAAGAAAATCTAATAAATATTTTATGCTTTATTATAGATTTTTTCCATCTTTCACTTCTTATTTGATGATGGGCTTCACGATGAGTTCTCCCTAAATTACAGATAATAACG